CGTTACAATCTCGAAACTCGCTTGCAAGATTCGTCGAGGATCAAAGAGCGATAAGAACACAAATTTTCTCACTGTTCCAAGATATATTGGACGCAACAATAATAAATAAATAATAAAATTTCCAATAAAAATAAAAATAACGTTTCATGGATTAATCAGAAACGAATGAAAATGAAAAATATAACCGATACATCTCCACAGATGTATCCTCCAGAGCGACATTCTATTAAAAAAAGACGATCCTCTCTCTCTTTCTCTCCTTCCATTTTTGTTTCCTCGACTGATATAACATATCACCGGTATCGGTGTTCCCTCGACCCCGTTGAGACCGGTGCCAGAAACGATCGTCGGTCGAATTATCGGGATCAGCATTTCCAGCGGTATTTGCGATCTGATTGTGGGCTGGCATCCAGTTGAAATCGTACGATGATTCGGGTGGTGGTGGAGTTTGGAAGAAGATTCGGTTCCCGCCGATAAATATGGCGGCCGATTCGAAGGGAAGGTCGAGAAAGAAAGGAAGAAGGGGAGGAGAAAAGAGGGGATTCAAGAGAGAGAGAGGTGGAAAATCGAGGAAAAAGAGGATTTAGCATTCGTTGCATCCCTGTCCTATCCCATCCATACACTCTTGTTCCGGTAATCAAGCAATCCGCGAGATCGGACTAATTAATGGAGACTGATTGCTCGACTCTATCCGGGTTAACCACAGTGCTGACTCCGCTCTACTGCTTAAATTTTCGAATCGTTCCTTCGTGAACCGATTCCAGATTCCTTTGCGCGAATACTTTGACCATCCCCGGATGGGGATTGAAATTAATCCTCTTCGATGGAGCAAGAGAGAGAGAGAAAGATATATAGAATTTACTGCTTCTTTCCATCTTTCTCCTTCAATTGTGAATCGTTGTTTCGAGGGAAAAAATTCGTATACAAGAGAATTAAACAAAACTTCGCTTGCCCTTCTTCAATTATCTCTTTTCAAACGTGGACCAAAATCGACATTGGACAATTGAGTGAATTTATAATAATCGCTTAGACTTCATCTCCTTCCTCCTCATCTCATTTCGTATATTCGAGAAACGGATACCAAACTTCCGCAACGTTACGATCATTCGAAAGTAAACGTTTGCGGCGGTAAACTCTCTCGGAATTCGTCCAGATATTAAACCAGACCCTCTAATATCAACCGAGTGCGCGCAATCCCGGATGATATCTCGATAAACAACTTATTTCTTTCTTCTTTCTTTTTTCCTTTCTAATAAAGTAGAAACGTTTGCAAGCCCTCGAGTCTCGTTCCGAGTCTCATTCGCATCATCACGGGGAAGCGACGGAAATCAACCAACTCCTCCTTGTTTACCGCTCGTCAAACGGCGGCCAGGATCTTTATTAAAGCGGTCGAGACGGGACGAGAGATTGAAGACACGGACACGTAACGCGTGGATGTTTGTTTGTGGCGAGAAAAGATCAAGGGAAAGGAACTTGAAATTTCCCCACGGTTGAAAGCCACCGGTTAAACTCGCGTCGAATATTTCGCGAAAATTACGTCACCGAATTCGCATAGTTTGTCCGGCCTGGTGGCGGTGGAAGTTGGGAAGTTGGAGGATCTGGTATGAACATCGAGTTCCTCGCGGCTAGGAATCCGATTACGAGCGCTCGTGTCGCCCAAATTCCCATAGAATTTTCTTCGAAACGAGGGAGAAGGGGAAAAAATAGGGGGAATATATAGGCGTAATCGCGTAATCTTCCTTCGAGGCGATCGTCTCGGATCTTTTTGTGTACACGTTCGCGCGAAAGAATCGCGACAGCAACTCGTGCGTGGCGTGGCGTGGCGTCGTATCGTATGCGAGGCACACACGATGGAAACAAGGATTCGCAATTTCCACGGATAAGGATTTCAATATGGGGGGAGACGCGGGGGCGTACGTAATCCGTGAGCGTGCACGATCCGTTGAATGGCGATCGAAAAGGCTGCCTCTGTCTAGGCAAACTCTACCACGAAACTTGTTCCACGTGGAAGATTTGCCAACTTTCTTGCCGAGGAAAATCCAAGAAGGATTTATAATAAACTGGCTGATGTAAAACGAGCGCCGACTACTACTAACGGGGTGTAATATCCGCAAGATTCAGGTCGCAATTCGTTTTTTTTGTGTTTTTTTTTTTCTTCTTCTTCTTCTTTTCTTTTTTTCTCCCTTTTTCCCGCGCGGCTATTGTTGGCGAATAAAAATGGGGAATTGATTAAGCGAAACGGGGAATAATAAATGGACATTGACTTTAGAATTTTCTTCGCCACGCTTTGTCTCTTTCTCTCCCCCTCCTCCCCTTTTCCTAGTTACGCGTTTCAGGTCACCGTGGTAATTTTTCATCGACGAATTTCAAAGAACTAGCAACGGTCTCTTTTCATCTTTTCCTCGAGAATTGAAAGATGAATGGAGTTTTTCAACGTTGGAAAAAGAAAAAAGAAAAAAAAAAAACGAAAAAAAAAGAAAGAAACGAAAAAAAAAAAACAGCGACCGGTAATTTTTCACCTACGAATTTCACAAACTAGCGAACGTTCTCGATTTTCCCACCCCCTCTTCACCGCGCGGAACACGGGTGGTAAACACAGAAGAAGCGGAGAGTATTTAACCCCCGACGAAATATTAAGGTTCGAATATTTTTTCGCCTCACTTTTTAATGATTAAAGAAGTAACTGTGCCATAATTAAAACGGTAAAAAAAAAAAAATTTAGGTTAATCACAAGATTAGCACTCGGTAAAAATTCGTCGAAAAAAATATTCACGTTGTGAATTTTTAATTAAGATTAAAAATCACTGTCTTTCGAAAAAAAGAAAAGTTAAGGGTTAAATAAGCATATTTTAGAGCGAAGAGGGTCATTAGTATCGAGGCAACGAAAATCAATTTTTCTTACTCTCGAGGGTAAAAAGAAACTGAAAGATCATTAGTAGTAGTAGATCGAGGTTAAAAAGAAAAATTGAAGTTCATTAGTTTCGAATCGAAAACTGTTAAAAAAATAACGAATAAGTGAAAAAAATCCATCCACCTAAACTACCCATCCATGTTTCATTTCTTTACTATTCGACATTTATATATAATAAAAAAGATAAATTAGCAATTAAAAAAAAATCAATATCGATAATTAAATTTAATAATCCGCTAGATATCACGTTGCCCAAATTTTCCTGTTTACGCAGGTATCAAAGGTTCTCTCCACGTATGAAGTTTCACAGGAAAATCCTCCTGGGGATTATATATATATATATAGGGATCAAGTAAATCGCTTCGAACGTCAAAAGATCCCTCCCCCTTCTGTTAAGGGTGGGGCGCGCACTTTCCACGGTACAATTTCTGCTTACGTATTACCGCGACGCATAACTGCTACGTTATCAAAGGAGAATGGCGCTCGGAGAATTTCCGGCTTCATAGTTAACCTACTGCGTGTGCACGGCCGCTGACCCGGACTCCGGGCTTTGGAAATCTTTGGAATTGTTCGCGCGTCAAAAGCCATTGTTCCGGCGATGTTGTCACGAGAATAATTCTCGCTTCGTTGTTCCCCGGATTTACGAATTTTTTTTTTTTCTTTTTCCTTTTTTCTTTTTTCTTTTTTTTTTATAAGATTTTCCCCTCCCCCTCTCCTGCTCTTTCCCGTCATCGCCAACGTTTTCTTCCTCCAACGCGTTGATCGCGTTAATCGCGGTTTTGAAAATTAATCGCGTTTCAAGCGATATACACACCGTGCGTTATCTTTCCTTTCGTAGCTTCGTTGTTTATTGGGTTTTTTTTTTTTTTTTTGGCTTTTTCTATAGCTATATCACCCCTTTGTCCACTCTGAATGGTAATTGTTTAAATGCCAAACTTCGTTTTTTAAAGGCAAAAAAAAAAAAAAAAAATATTGAAAGATATTAAGGCATTCGCGAGGATTTCGTCGATGGTATTTTCAATGGTTCAAATCTTTTGCATTGTTGCACCGCGTGAAACTGGAAACGCACGTTCCATTGGAAATTTCGAATACGCGTTTCGAAGTCGTCATTGTAACGTTTTCCCCGACGATCTCCCGTGAAACGATCTCGAACTCTCGTTGTTATTCTCGAGAACGATTTGACATTGGTTTAATGCGTTTTTCGATTAATATGCGATGAATTAATGGATCGATCGACGCGCGAAATGGAATTTGAAATCAAGTTTTCGGAAGTAAAGTGGCGCCTATGAGACCGAGAAAGAAAGAAGAAGAGGAGGGATAAAAATAACGAAATAATTGGATAAAAAGAGGAAGACAAATGCTCGTGTTAATTTAATACGCGAACCTCCTTTGAATTTACTTCGAGTTATTAAAGAAAAAAAATTTGTAACAAACTAACGTTGATCCTATTAAAGAAAATTACGAAGTCCATACAATTCGCGAGTCTAATAACCGGAAGTCGTTCGTTGGAATTATATATCTTAAAATCAAAATCGTCCATTTCTTTTTTTCCATATTTCATCCATCTTCAATTTCCGCCTCCCGTTCCAACTTATTATATTTCTTTTCCTTTTTTCGCGCATTTTTCATCCTCTTCTCTCACATCATTCTCCGTTTGTTACATACCATTCTCTCTCTTACCACTTACAATTCATTCATTCGTTTTCTGTTTTACACTATATATATATATTTTTTCTATTTTCTTTAACTCTTTTCTTGTCCACAATTTTTCCTATTTATTTATTTTTTTTTCTCGTCTCTTTCACTTTCCATTCCCTCATCCACTACAATAACTCAACCCTTGACCGTCGCGATTCAACTTCCATCCCCGCGTATAATTCGTTCTTTCGTTCGTTTCTTGGATTCTCTAAAACTCTACTTCTTTTTCGCTAGACCACAGCCAAAATGAAACGTCTGTCTCGAAAAGAAGAACACCTGGTTACTTGGCTATTCCAACCTGACACATCGTTGCGAATGAGTTAATTGGATTGAAAAATGGATAGAACGGATAGAGGAAAAGAATGAAGGAAGAAGAGGAGGAAGAACCTACCTTATCGCCATACTTTTCGCTTTCAAGTGATGCCATCGCTGGTTCATCTCGTCCAATCGTCGTTGCAGCATAACCGCGTCATCTTGGCTCGCCAAAGAGCTCAACAGCTTCCTGCCTGTGCCGTTCAACGACGTGTACACGTCTCGGTGCGTCTCGATTTCCGATTGTAGGTCCTGTAACAAAACATAGTACTCTTGTTAATAGAAATATTCAGAATGATACAAACACGTCGAACTTATATTATATGGAAGAACGTCATTCAACAACTTGAAGAGGAACATCTGATATGCCAAAATCCTTCGATATTCCGCATAATTAAATTAAAATTCTTACGCTTCCCAACAATTTAACGATTTAAATTCGATATAATAAATAAATCTGAATTTACGGGACAACGATTCTCTCAGATCAAAATATTTTCCCCAACTTTCCAATTTGTCCAGCGTTCGATAGGGGAACAAAAAATATACGAAAAAAAAAAAAAAAAAAAAAANAAAAAAAAAAAAAAAAAAAAATACCGATTGACGCGTTACAAAACTAATCAAAACTGTGCAGAATTGCGATGGAATATATATACGAAACCTCAAACAGACACTGTAACTAACTATGGATTCGAAGGAGAAAGAGAAAAAAAAAATCGTAACTTTATAACATAGAAAGGTATCACGAGATCGTAATAAAATACAACAGATCGATGCGAGTTACACCGACGCGTTATCGATTCAAATTTCGTTTAAGACGTGGTATTAAAGTATTTTTCGCGACTCCTGTTATTAAACGGATATTATTAAATAACGGGAATGGAACCTATCCACGTCAAGATGCGGAAAACATCCAGGAATGGGAGGGAGGGGAGATGGAAAATTTCAAGAATTTGCGCGATATTTCCCTCGGATTTTCTCTCGCCGATGAATAAAAAGTCTGTGTGTACAACAGTCTGTCCGCGAGAAAAATCTTGGGTGAAAGGGAAGGCTTGCACGCGGTGTTCCGTCATCGCGATGACGTGAATTGCGGCCAACGTTTTGGCCAAAAGTGATTTATGCCGCGTTCTCGTGTGCCTAGAGGGGGAAGGGGGGTTGACGCGCGACGTCGGACACCGAGAATGAGAATAAATCGGTGGCCTACGCGATTCGATTTTTTTAAGAAACGTTCGTCCGTCATGATCCCTTCTCCGCGAAAGGGTGGTGAAAGTTTAATAGAAATCGGCGTTCGTACAAGGTAAAACATTGTTCCCCTTAAACGGATTTCAAATCTTCTTCTTGTTCCTCTCTGTGGATTGTACATTCGATGCAGATGAAATCGTGATTTAGGAGTAACGCCGTTCTATGGAAATTTATTTATGGATACCACGCGTATATTGGTATTTACGGCCAAGCGGGGAGATACCTGTTTTGGAATTTAGATTCGCGTTCATTTATATACGAACGTGTATTTCTTGCATAAAAAAAAAATTGCATCGCTTTTTTGAAGATTTGTTGACGGAAGAATTTCAAAAAAAAAAAAAGAAGGATTTCATCGATTCCTACCCTCGGAAAAAACCAACCCTTTCGCTCCACAATTTCAACAGAACGAATCCGCGGAGAAGAAGCCACATAAACGTCCCACCAACAAAGTCCCTCAAACTTTCACACGATATCTTTCCACGCGATGAATTCTCTATCTAGTTTGCTGACCACTCGTGCAAGGTATACACAACGAAACTTGTGCGAGATGATTAAACAGACGGCACTCTTCAAGTCTAAACTTAAGGAGAATCGGTGAAGAATACACGATTCTTTGAAATTTTCGCTTCGAATGGTGGGCCAAATTATTGATAATAATTCAACAGCCTTTATTCTCGAAGGCACGAATGTTAAACTTTATAATTCAACGGAGAGAACGGATCGAAAGTCGTTCCGCTTCGTATGTTCGCGACACTCTCTCTGGCTCTCATCGATCTACCCTGATTCTTCCACGCACAAACATTTTTACTTCGCGCTGGCTATTCCACGAATATTTTTTCTTTCTCTCTCTCTCTCTCTTTTTCTCTCTCTTGCTTCTGAACGGTGTAGAGATCTGGTGTATTTTCATCGTGCACGATTTTAAACCGGCGCGGTTGACGCGTGTAACACGGGTACAGGGCGTATCATAAAACGAGAGAATGTACCGAGAGTGATGAACAGCCACGCTCGGAATTTATGCGGGCAAAAAACATTTTTGGAGGGAACCGATCGTTCGTCATTTGGGACGAAGAATTGCGAACTTTTTTTTTTTTTTACGCTCGATTCGCGACGAAATATCCATCCCAATTTCAAGTATACCAATTTTTCTTAATTATATCTCGTTGTGGATATTTTACTTCGACGATTGTGTATATTTGACAAAGTATTCACGTGAAAAGCACGACAGGAAAGTTAAAGATTTTGCCACAAAAATCTACTTGGAAACGATGCAAATGAGATCGTTCATTGATTCATCTCGATATCTCAATCGGTTGACGACAATCAAAGACAATCAAAGACTCAAAGTTTCCATAGCGCTTAAGGCTATATAATACAGAGGATTGTGAATGGAGTCGCGGCTCACTGACCTACATTTTTTTTCCTAGAAATGTGTACTACTTCCTTCGCACACGTTTTGCCAGAAATCGCTTGTCTGTCGCTTGTCTGGAGTTTGGGATAGGTTAGTGCGAGCGAGAGACCCGAGAGAGCGGCGAGGATAGACATAGTAAACGATTAAAAATTACCTTTCTCTTCGCACCACGATATCTCGGGAACCGAAAGTCGTATCGAGATAATTCGAAAAGGGGAAGATCCTGCGTTTTCAACGATCGTTCATTCATCGAAAGTTGATATGCTCGAAGTTATAACGATTTAAAATTTTCCCAATTTTAATAAAGTTTTAAGACAAATTACTCGACGAATATACGTTTGTTTCTGGAAGTATTTTAATTATTCTCGCTAATTAATTTCAAAAAATTCCTTGATCGAAGTAAATATCAAGTTAATTGATTAAATCATATTGATCTATTAGACGAAGATTCAAATTAGGAAAAAGGATGAATCACATTCGTCGAATATTCGAACGGTTAACATACAGAATATTATATATAATATCACGCGACAAGATTACGAAAAAGTACGGACAGTAGGAACGATTATGGCCGTAAAAATAACAGGATATCCGGAATTGATTGGTATCGGATTGGAACACATCTGGTGCAGGCCTGCCTTTTTTTTATCGCTTCTACGTGTCCGACTCGGCAAAGTTGCGGCCACAATTTACGGTACAACCTGTACAACGCGGAGGAAGACAGAGAGAGAAAGAGAGAGAGAGAGATAGAGAGAGAGCGCGGCAAATATTGTGTACGCGGTGTGCAACGATGCAAGGAGCCTGTTCCAAAAGCGTCGGGGTACATCCATCAAAACGCTTTTCGTCGTGGACCTCATCGAAAGTGTAAACCCGTGACGTTTAATTGGAACACCGGACATCTGACCGGATGAAGTTTGATAGTTGTCGTTGGATTAATTGTCGAGCATCGAGTATATGGGTCCGTGAACAATTTTAATATACTCCTCGAATTTTATTTCATTCCGTCCCGTTGCCTTTTCATTTTCGCTCGTCGTCCTACGCTCGAGTTTTAGGTTCACGATCATATTTTTCGAGAATACTATTAAATCTTTATCGTTATTACATTAAGCGCGAAATTTGGAAATAATCTTCGGTTAAAAATAAAAATTACTCGTGTCGGATTACATTGTATTTCCACGAATTAAATCCTTTTACAGGACGAGTATTTCCTTTAACACGATTTGTTATTTTCCGTTGAAAAAATTTGCAAATCTAACACCCTCTTGTGGATCGTTACTCGATATATTACAACTACTCGTTTATTATTCCAAAGTTAAAATTTTGTTATTAAAAAATTTAGAAGGAGATCTCGTTGAAGATTAAAGGAGAATAATATTGCTTCCTCGAAAAATTAATTTTTAATTGATCCATGCTTTCGCCAGAAGCATCGTGTATTGTTCACATGAAGAGAATTTGCGGGAAGAATAATGCTTTTTCGGTATACACGCCAATCAAGCGATCATACCGCGATCGATCGATCACGAAGAGGATCGAGGATACGCCGTCTTAACGGCGCACTTTCAATGCAGATTAAATTTTCCAGGTAATGGGTGACCCTGTGGGTGAACCGAGGTAAAAGAAGCGTTCAGGGGAAATTCGAAATGGGTAGATGGGGTGGAAAAAGGGCGAAATGTAAAGGGTTTTTTTAGCGAGTCGTCTCGTGCTTCTTATCGATGCAACCACCGTGCAATTACGCAAATAGCGCGTTATCGATGACGCGACATTCACGATGAAATTGTTCTGCTCTTTTTTCACCCCTTTTTCTCCCATTTGTGTTTTTTAATCTCGACTCGAAAGTTTAGAGAATTTGATTTAAGGACTTGATTGATATGTATAATATAAATTTTTGTAACGATATTAATTTGTATTGCGACAAAGAAAATATTATGCAACATCGATGAAAAATAGAAACGAGAATAGATATATATTTTTCATCTTACGGATGAATTTTTCAATTTCTCTCTCTCTCCTTATAAAATATCAATAAGTATCGCTTTTATTTTTTTTAATTGCAAAATTCGTTTTTCTACTATCTTAAACATCGATGAATATCCCATGTACATTCGATTTATTCAAATTGGAATGATGATGATATGTTTGATCGAGGCAAATGAGTCACGATAATAGTATAACAAAGAGGTTTACCCTAGAAATGAAGAGAGAGAGAGAGAGAGAAACTGTATACGAGTTGTATTAAAACAAACATCCTGCATATCATTTCGCGAAAATTACGGAAATGGTTGCAAGATACATTTATGTGTATGCATTTAGAAATTCAATAAATTGTTATTATTGAATTCCAGATGCTTTTAGAGAAAAGGAATACTTTCCAACATTGCTAACTTTATAAACGGATGAGAGATATAACATTCTTATGACGTTCCAGAAGCTTGTGTGACACTTGTGTAAAACTGCGTAATATCTTGCAACAATTTTACCAATTTTTAATTATCGCGATAGTGATCTCGAAAATGAAAATGCTTTTTCAAATGTTTCCAAAAGAGATCTTAAGGATATTTTGCAATATCGCGATACAAATATATTAGAATCGTTATACGATATT